GTCCGCAGTAAAGATGTCAATTGCACAGAATCGAAATCTCCCATACTGGCACAACACCTACAAACTCGGATAGCTCGGATAGTTTAACTGATATTTAAAAACGCAAACAAAAACTTACTTCGGTTCACCGTAATGGACCGGAACAGTGCGAGTCTTGTAGGACATGACCGAGACCAAAATCAAGCCAATCGCCAGCAGAACAAGCGAGATGTAGAAGAACATGTTGCTGCTGGTATGGCACGAGCCCATAACAGTCGTGGTGATCGGGGACACCGTGAACCACAGGATGAAGTAGGCGACAAACAGCAGATACCCGACCCAGATCATGATCGTTAGGCTGATATCGTTCATGAGTGTTCGTACAATCTGTGGCAAAAGCAGGGGGCACGTTATCGAACTCTGGGTGTGTGCGCTAAGGCATGTAGGTATGGAGTATGTTTGTGTAGGCAAGGAGTATGTTTGTGTAGGTAAGGAGTATGTTTGTGTAGGTAGGGAGTATGTTTGTGTAGGTAAGGAGTATATTTGTGTAGGTAAGGAGTATGTTTGTGTATAGGTAAGGAGTATGTTTGTGTATAGGTAAGGAGTCCAACTCACTTATTTACGCCAAGCACCAAGTTCAAGATCCGCTTGGGCCATTTTGGCGAACGGATTGGCGGTTCGTATACAACCAAAACCAGACGATTTGCAAACACATGAGCAGACTGTGGGTTGCACAAACACCCTCGCGCCAGATACGACACTCGAAGGATATCGTCGGCATACACGCGATTTGAAGTTATAAATAGACTATACGACAAGGCTGAATGATATCGTCGGCATACACGTGATTTGAAGTTATGAATAGACTATAGGACAAGGCTGAAGGATATCGTCGGCATACACGCGATTTGAAGTTATAAATAGACTCGAGGACAAGGCTGAAGGATATCGTCGGCATACACGCGATTTGAAGTTATAAATAGACTATAGGACAAGGCTGCGTCGGCATACACGCGATTTCAAGTTATAAATAGACTCGAGGACAAGGCTGGAGGATATCGTCGGCATACACACGATTTGAAGTTATAAATAGACTATAGGACAAGGCTGAATGATATCGTCGGCATACACGCGATTTGATGTTATAAATAGACTCGAAGACAAGGCTGAAGGATATCATCGGCATACATGCGATTTGAAGTTATAAATAGACTATAGGACAGGGCTGAAGGATATCGTCGGCATACACGCGATTTGAAGTTATAAATAGACTATAGGACAAGGCTGAAGGATATCGTCGGCATACACGCGATTTGAAATTATAAATAGACTCGAGGACAAGGCTGGGCGTACGCCTTGCGATCTGTGAGGTGTACAGCGGGACGTAAACAAGTGGACAATTATCGCGAGCAACAAATCCCACAGCACGTGCGGTTGTATCCTTGTATATACCAAAAGACGCTATGGGAGATATAGGATACAATGCATAAAAGCAGACGAATGACAGGTGATGTGTCATCATCCACCTGGATATACCCTTGGAAGAGCATCGCAACACTCAGGCATTATCCACTGGGATCGATAACAACCCGGGGGAGCATCATGCACAGCCACTCACGGTACCTCACTACCCGAGAGTGGCGACTAAAGCTCTCACCACTCGTAATACACAACGCTGGATCATCCAACACGTGCATGGGTGTGGGTGCAGCACTACGGTTTTAACGTTTCAACGGTTATCATTTCAACGTTTCAACGGTTATCATTTCAACGTTTCAACGGTTATCACAGTGACATGCTAGAAGAGCAGCCTTGGCACATCAGACTATACTACTGAGGACGTAAACCATTGCTGTCAGAGAACATCAGCGACAATCGGATCCTGAGACGACAGCACACTCCCAGTAACAAATACATACGCACCTTGTGCATCTTTTGGCACTAGAGTGTCCGGATGTAAACAGTCTTTAATACTTTTTTGTGAGTCCAAATTAGGTACTCGCTGAGTCAATATCTGTATATAAATCACAGCCCCGCATAAATTAAAAGGGTGGTCGTGCATAGCAGGCGCAGGAGTTCTTACTGATGAAACACTGACTGTACTTCATACTGAATACGTCAATAAACGTATTCTGTCGCCACACATAGACGTTCAACACATGGACACAACAACAGCATATACGTACATCGACTATTGGCGATACTCAACCGTGACTAGCCATACCTTTTGCTGTTTCAGTGAGCGTTTCAGATCCCAATTGAACAGTACGTGTAGCCGATAACTCTTCAAGCACAGAGCGGTGATGATAAAGTAAAACCCACTGAAGGCGAGAGAGATAAACACCTCACACTGCCCATCCCCGAATTGGCCCAATTCATTGCCCTGGTACACCCCCTGTGTGCGTGTTCCAATACACGCGAGTGAATAGCTGGCTATTGTGTGTGGGTGTAGATCTGGTATATGTACCGTATTGGGTATGGTGATTACGACCGACTACTCTTCGCGTCTCTCTTCTATTCGTAAATTAACATTGTGTGCAACCAGACATGGTGTGGGCTGAGCAGCTATTACTAGAGTACTCATCTGTGCATATCTTGGTATGCAAGGGACCTTCTTCGTGGTTCGATAGAGACATGCGACGGTAAAGGTACAAACATGGTGTATTGTGGATCTAGTTCAGCTACAGTCCAGCAGACTACACATGCGAGTTAATATCGGTGTGCATTGTCTAAGTACGCATTTGACTTTACGTTGATGCCCCCGATCAAAGTAACTGAGAAGTTACGCACCCTGTGCTCGAGCATGTGTGGTTTTAGGTAAATGTGTGTGTATTTGTGTATATATGCGTGAGATGATTTCAATTGTGTGTGCGCGCGTCTGTGTACTTGTTTGTTTGTGCGTGCTATTGTTTGTTTGTTCGTACGTGTTGCTGTGTATTTGTGTGTATGCATTAACTTTTGTGCCTATGTATTGGTGTACGTATATATATATATATATATGTGTGTGTGAATGTGTATAAATAGGTTTTCTGGTTACATATATACTTGTGTTCGCACAGCAGCGATGTGCTGGTATACCTTCACATCTCCCTGTGACACTCGGTGACATGATCAGAAGCCGCCGCGTATCCGCATCAGTCAACAGTTTAAACGCCGAATACATCACAAGTACAGTGTAATAATATCTTCTAATTGCTCACACTCACAAGTACCTCACAACCACACATTACAAAACACGACTCCAGTTGGTGTACGACAGAGAAGGAGTGGTGTTTCGACTGAGAAATTACGACAACACCGCTATTATGTTAAATAGACAGATAAAAGATGAGAATAGTGAATACACACGGATGAGAAGTCGTATATAACCAAATCAACTGGCTGTGATTGTCGCCCTTACGACAACACCGCTATTATGCTAATTAAACGGATAGAAGATGAGAATAGTGAATACACACGGATGAAAAGTACGTATACACCCAAACCAACTAGCTGTGACACGCAAACATTTGTAGACGATCCTCAGATGATCAGTTAACCTGATCCGCTATAGAGCAGGATTAGGGGCGCGAAAGGGGTCTATACGACTACTTTTAGATGACGGGATGTAATAATTGCACGCACACCCTCCCCTTACAAGACCACAGAATGAACATACCTGGAAGCACAACGAGATGCAGAGAAATATCAGACCAACGATGACATGCAGTGACATCGCATAACCTGATCACACCAGTTTGAGGAAACGAAAAAGCCGGGGGTTAAAGTTAGGGAATATATATATATATATATATATATATACTATTATTAATATTATTATTATATATATATATATATATATATATATATATATATATATATATATATATATAGTATGATTATGTGTGTAGTGGATACCTTACGTCTGTGCAATACATGTGAAGGTGTTTGGCCCAGAGTGTATTTATCTATTTGTATTGGGAGCATAAACGTATTCGACATTTGACGATATCACTACTAAGGGGAGTGTGGCATAGGTACATGTTCTGTTCAGCTCATATAAGTGGTACACACATATTACGGGTCGATTTGATGGAATATATATATATATATATATACGCACACACAAACCTATACGCTCACACAATTATAATGTACTCACCATTCTCCAATTGTACAGCCAAGTTCATATGACCATATAAACCAAATCGCGCACCAAAACACACCACACATACACACGTACCCGTTGTGCTAACACACCCCACCGACACACCCTGCTACACCTCAATAACAGTCCAGCACCGACTACAACGACAGGCTTGTTGTCCTCTCACACTAGCTCCCATGGATGCCCTGCTAAACCCTAAAACCCATGCCCGCTGAGATATGCAGTCGACGAATACCACCATCACCACCACGTCACGTCGAATGTTGTACTACATGACCCCCACATACCCGTGCAGCGAATGGCCTGGTGGTCTCTGTTAAAACACACAAAGATGAACATGCCGATGGTTATAAGCCCCAGAACGCCTCCCATCCAGATCGCAGTCATGTGGTCGATGCCCTGAGCAACGCCCCAGTTCCCCTGTAGTGCAGCAAGCGGTATCCGGAGGAGAGGGAGATAGTTGGGTATGAGTATGGGAATGGGCCGTGGTATTATCACTACCCGCCTTGGCCTAGATGAATTGTCGGAGTATCCGAGTGGATGCATACAACCAAGTGAAGATACGAATATCGATAAAGCAACAACTACAGGCACCGCTTGTGTGTGTAAGCACGAACGAAGTGAGCTCACGCCAAATCGCATCACATACACGTTCACAGATGTATACACAACACAAGTGCAATAACTACAGACAGCCACAGATGTATACACAACACAAGGACAATAACTAGGGACAGCCACACATGTATACACAACACAAGTGTAATAACTACGGACAGGGTAAACTATGGGGATGCACAAACCACACGTGCAAGGAGAAGGATTCACCGGCCGCACAGACTAATATGAACAGATGACCTGTCATGCGATGTGGGAGTTATTGGAGTCAACACGTATCAGACTTACACCCTTTTTTTTTGTACGAGTATATCACAAGAAAATTTGAACAACACGGCACGTTATGAATGACTACATACACACGATGTATGTTGGCACGTTAAGAATGACTACATGCACCTGATGTATGTTGGGCAGAAGGCACAAATGTATATATCGCTATAACTGTGGGAGTGTAATACGTACGTGTTCTTACATACGTAATTAGGTAGAAGGTACTATCCCTATAACTGTGAGAGTGTAATACGTACGTGTAATACATACGTAATTAGGTAGAAGGTACTATCCCTATAACTGTGAGATTGTAATACGTACGTGTTCTTACATACGTAAATAGGTAGAAGGTGCTATCCCTATTACTGTGAGAGTGTAATACGTACGTATTCTTACTTACGTAATTAGGTACAAGGTATATACGCGCGGAATCTATCTCAATGGCACAGAGTCTATCTAAGAAAATATGATCCATCAGATCTCGACAATCTATTTCAATACGAACCCAGGGCATACGTCAATCCACACGTACACTTGACACATACAGTCATTGCCACGGTTGAGTTCATACGTCAATCCACACATGCACATTGGAAATTCGTACGCCAATCCACACAAGCACATTACACGTACAGTCACTGCCACGGTTGAGTTCATACGACAATCCACACAAGCACATTACACATACAGTCATTGCCACGGTCGAGTTCGGCATTGTCATCTGCTTGTCGGTGTTGACATTACTGACAGTGACGGAGCAAGGGACTTCGTAAACGGGCACTGGCACATTCGCATCCACGCTCTTGAAGATGATGTACAGCGACGAGTAGGCCCATTTGCCATAGTAGTCCGAATCTCCTGTGGAGGTATAGATTGATTCAAGCAAAGACAGTGAGTGGGTGGATACCAGAAGCGTGTCTGATGCAGACAATCCCTATACGGATGTAGATTGATTCGTCCGTTGAAGAGTGAGCAGGTGGATGGCAATAACGTGCCTCATACAGCCAACCCCAGCGTTGCTGCGTGTGATGTTAGTCTATAGACCTGTCGTTAACTGAGTACATTCAGCGCAAAGCGCGGGTGTGGGTGTGGCCTGATCGGACAAGACACACATGCACAACAGAACCCTTACACACTCCGAACACCATACCACATACCACGGCCAATGCGCTGACGGTCCATACAGTACAGAAAACAACGCCGACACAGCACTTGCATGGCGAGGGGTGGTTCGCACGAAGGCTGGGAATAAGATAGGCACGCGTACACAAAATAGTCCGACACCTCACTATAGTAACAACGCCGACACAGCACATGCATGGCGAGGGGTGGTTCGCACGAAGGCTGGGAATAAGATAGGCACACGTACACAAAACAGTCCGACACCTCACTATAGTAACAACGCCGACACAGCACATGCATGGCGAGGGGTGGTTCGCACGAAGGCTGGAAATAAGATAGGCACACGTACACAAAACAGTCCGACACCTCACTATAGTAACAACGCCGACACAGCACATGCATGGCGAGGGGTGGTTCGCACAAGGGCTGAGAATAAGATAGGCACGCGTACACAAAACAGTCCGACACCTCACTATAGTATCAACGCCGACACAGCACATGCATGGCGAGGGGTGGTTCGCACGAGGGCTGGGAATAGGATAGGCAGGCGTTTGCAGCGTGAGAAAGCGGATGCGCCACGGGTAACTATACGGACTGGTGGATGGTAATAACATACCCAGATCGCAGCTGAAGGTGATGTATTGGTCCACAGACGACTTCCCGTGCATATCTACCTCACGTACGTCGGTGCTAAAAGTGAGCCGAATGCAATCGTTCTGGTCGAATGTCTGCACACACATCGACATGTAAGAATTAGGGATAGTGCGATGTAGGTGAAAGATAGTGCCACAGGCTCGAAGTGGGGTTTGATACTTGTTTGTACGTGTGTGTGTGTTCCGTTTGTACCTGTGTGTGTGTTCCGTTTATACGTGTATGTGTGTTCCGTTTGTACGTGTATGTGTGTTCCGTTTGTACGTGTGTGTGTGTTTCGTTTGTACGTGTATGTGTGTTCCGTTTGTACGTGTGTGTGTGTTCCGTTTGTACATGTATGTGTGTTCCATTTGCACGTGTATGTGTGTTCCGTTTGTACGTGTATGTGTGTTTCGTTTGCACATGTGTGTGTGTTCAATTGATGTATTAGAACAAGACGTTCGTCTCACAAATGAACAGACATGTGATTGAACGTGCAATTTGAGATCCATTTACAACAGTATGTAAACTCGCCTACATATCTGCTGATTGCTAGATTCCGTTTGTCTATAGATTGCATGACATACCAAACAGCAACAAAATAATAATAATTCAAATATGGAGTTGATCGCCCACCCACCCACCCACCCATCCACACACACGCACGCATACCATAGTATCCACACACACCCACCACCCACCACAACACACACACACACATACCGTATACCACACACACCCACCCACCCACCCATCCACACACACACGCATACCACTAGTATCACACACACACACGCATACCATAGTATCCACATCCTTGCAGTCACTTGTAATTGCAGAAGTCAAAGCGGGCGAGGGCAGCAACACTTGAATCTGAGCGATCACGTACTCGAAATCACTCGCGAGCGTTGGTGACCGGACAGAGTACCTACCGGTTGGCATGGACAATTAATTGGCGGAGTGATATGGGTTAGTGCATTGTGATTGATGCCTGACCACTACACGTAACAAACCCATCGGCTGTATAAGCGAGGTCAGGTAACGTACGTTACTGGACTATACAAGAAGTCCCCGCAATTCGTGATGTCAGACGGTCCTTGGGGATGTCAATACACCTGCCGTCACTCCCAAGACAGTGGGTATCCCCATGGATCTACTAGGCTGTACCAGGGATCTAGGTAGGTATAACGTACCAGGGATCTAGGTAGGTATAAAATAGAACATACGTACACATATACAATGCACAACACATATAACACGCACACGCAAGCACATACGCGAATGCATCTAGGCCCGACGTCGCAGGAGCATCGTAGACCAATGGGCTGCCAAAGAATTCGTCCTCCACCAATGGGTGCGTTCCGTTGAAATGGGAGAATGCCTGCAGCACCAAGGCCAGTCCTTCGTCACTCAGGGGCAGGACAACCGTGTCATTGACCTGCAATTCAGTCAGATTGCGCCTGGGTGTTGGGGGATTAGGACCGGTGGGTGGGTGGATGGGTATATATATATATATCATTACTCTAGTTGCAAGAAAGAGTGCAGGTTCATCTGCGTGATTCACTGGTTCAAGTCCAATGGCCCCGTAGGTGATAAGGATTTTAGGGTTTCGGGGTTTCGGGTTTCCAAACCCTAAACCCTAACACCATACGGTATGCATACTTTGCCGGGGTGTAACCATGCACCTCATCTCAGAGGGCCAACGAGTGTTAAAATTGAGATGTAGAGGTTTCACTCATGTTGAGAAAGCTACCCAGAGAAACCATGCGCTTTGTCATAGCTGCAGTCTACTTTTTAATCAGACCATATCATGTCATAGAGAGAAAGCTTGGGGTTTTAGGGTTTGGATTTTTGATAATGGATCACCCGATACTGGCGAATTGTCTCAATACTCACGTCTGAGCATACACAACACAACGATAACAGACCATAACTAGGTGCCAAGTACCACTGCTGATGTGTGTACATACATATACGACTGTTGATGTGTGTAAATACATATACGACTATTGATGTGTGTACATACATATACGACTGTTGATGTGTGTACATACATGTATGACTGTTGATGTGTATGTGGCCTTGTGTTAGTACGAGTGCTGTGAACACACTCACCTGAGCAGTGTCCCAAACACCGGCAGAGTGCGGATGGTGAGAATGAGTACGTCTATCTCGTTGTTGACTTGCTGGTACAGTTGGTCCATACAAGGACTGTGGAGGTGGCAGGGGAATGAATGAGAGAGTGCGTGGTGTTCGATTGGGGGTGTTTAAGGAGAAGGTAGTAGGTTGGGTCACGATGTTCGTATCAGATATGTGTATACTACGTGTTCGTAGCTATGGATTTAGCATGCGTGCATGTGGTTGTGATGTGCTGATTATGATATTGTTCTTATACATATGTAGTTGTTAGAATGAGGGGTTTTTGGTACTTTCGACCACTATATTCTCAGGTACATATAAATACAAGATATTTCTATGGACACAAATACACATTCATATACACACACCCACGCATATGATTATGTATACGAATGCATATATATATATATATATATATATATATACATATATACATATATATGCAGCGTGAAGCACATACTCTCGGTATCCATCCACGCTGACGTCGCACACATATGAGGCAGGATTACTGGAGATGCCAGGTGCCTGTATTTGATCGTATTCGCCCTGTGTGGATTCATGAGGATATGTGTGTGGTTTCATGAGGATGTGTGTGTGGTTTCATGAGATGTGTGTGTCGTTTCATGAGGATGGGCGTGTGGTTTCATGAGGATGGGCGTGTGGTTTCATGAGGATGTGTGTGTGGTTTCATGAGGATATGTGTGTGGCTTCATGAGGATGTTTGTGTGGTTTCATGAGGATGTGTGTGTGGTTTCATGAGTATATGTGTGTGGTTTCATGAGGATGTGTGTGTGGTTTCAGTGTGTGTGGTTTCATGAGGATGTGTGTGTGGTTTCATGAGGATATGTGTGTGGTTTCATGAGGATGTGTGTGTGGTTTCATGAGGATGTGTGTGTCGTTTCATGAGGATGTGTGTGTGGTTTCATGAGGATATGTGTGTGGTTTCATGAGGATGTGTGTGTGGTTTCATGAGGATGTGTGTGTCGTTTCATGAGGATGTGTGTGTGGTTTCAGGGAGGGTGTGTGCGTGTTTGAAGGTTACATTGATGAATGATATAATAATGCTTATGCGCATATATGATTAGCGAGGCTTGTCTGCGGAGGGTATACGAGTGGAGGATGTAGTTAAGTGTGTCGGTTCAGTCCACGTTTGCCACTATGAGCGGTAAGGATGATAATGGTGTCAGCGATTCAGGCTATTCACCTACAGCCATACATATACTGTGAGAAGGGCAGGCTACCTACCACAATTTCCACAAGAATACCTACCACATTCTTCCCCCAGTATACCTACCACATTCTTCCACCAGTATACCTACCACATTCTTTACACAGTGTACCTACCACATTCTTCCACCAGTATACCTACCACATTCTCCCCCAGTATACCTACCACATTTTTCAACCAGTATACCTACCGCATTCTTCCACCGGTATACCTACCACATTCTTCATATACCTACCACATTCTTCAACCAGTATACCTACCACATTCTTCCACCAGTATACCTACCACATTCTCCCCCAGTATACCTACCACATTCTTCCCCCAGTATACCTACCACATTCTTCCACCAGTATAACTACCACATTCTTCAACCAGTATACCTACCACATTCTTCCAACACTATACCTACCCCGTTCTTCCACCACTATACCTACCACATTCTTGTACAGGGCGATTGGGGTGAGGCCGTACTTGTGCCCGATCGCCTGACCGGTGACACCGCTGCTGGTCTCATTTGCGCCCGCCACCGTCTCGTAGATGACTGGGAAGTGAACGTGGTTGTCTGTGTGGTTGTGTACTATGCCCACGGGGAATTGATCAAAGGTCACATACGCCAGCAGACCTGAGGCGGGGAAAAGGGGCGGCGAGTGAGCCAGTGAGTATGAGGTAGCGTGTAGGTATTGATGGATACTGTGTTTAATAGTTACAGCGATGACATGCTTGTGGACACACTGACGATGGAACTAGAGGCGATTGTTCACCTTTATTCTGAACGCGATATGTCACATACGATACGATAAATCGACAAGTATCCCTTCAAACGTGCACATGTACACAAAGAGAGAGAGAGAGAGATATTATATATATATATATATATACATATACATATACATATACATACAGATATATATATATATATACACATATAGATATATATATGTATATATTATTTTCTTATACTATATATATATATATATATATATATAAGATAAATATATTAAAAACATATATACATACACATATATATATACATATATATATTATATGAAATTATATAGATATATAGATATAATATAATATATAAAGAATATATATATATAAATATATATATATATATATATATATATATATACATATATATATATATANACATATNTATATACATACACTACTACAACAACATACTAC